AGGCTCATCATCTTAGATAGGGAATGGAGAAATTACGTTAGGAGTAAATTATTCCCAAAAATTGAGTAAGGCGAGGAGGCGCAAATGCATTAGCGTGGGAAGACGGAGGAGGCGGGGGAAGGGGTGAGGGGGAATATAAGGGGAGAGCTCCGGACTCACTTGGAACCACCGAAGAGGATCCTGACATCCGCCTTGTCCAGTTGGTCCGCTGCACTCCGACTGCTTCTGTCACTGTGAGTTCCGTTCTTCCTTTCGGTGGGGGTAAGGGGTTTTGGGAGAATTCTTCAGATAAGTATAGTGTTCTTAGACGTGAGAGGTGCGGCACCAAGGAATGCAGCATGAAGTACGTTCGAAAATGATTTTCCTATTTAAATTTAATGGATTGTTTCCTTCTGCTGGAAAATCAATCAATGGCAGGAAAATTACGATTTGAAAAACATTTTGAATTCGCATCGATGATGATGGGGTGGATATGACTTCGTTTTCGCATGCAATGCTTGTTCACACGAGAGTGGGAACGTCCGTGTCCGTCTCATTTTCACGTTTTGTCAAGGCGTCTGGATGCATCATTTGCACCTGGAACTTGCTGGTGCTGAGAAATCTGTAATTGCCAGTGTGCCAATCCGGATGGCACCGACATCTGTCGAGTAGACGCGAATCTCATTCGCTTTTATCTGCTGCAACTTATGGCTCGCTAGTCCGCTCGTAGTATCCGAGTTGATGCCATTTCTCCCATCTAGATGACTCTGGTGAAGCGAAGTGTGGTTCTGCTGTGCGTGACGCTCATGTTGGCGTCACTGTTCGTACAGCTGACCGATGCCACAAGGCGGAAGCCCAACGATCTCTTCAACGGGTCCATCTTCGGGAAACGGAGTTCCTCAGGTTAGTGAATTGTGAGGGAGGAAACGGTTTCAGGGGGGAAACGCAAACAAATCTACAAAAGAAGATACAATTCGCTTCCGTTAAAAAAATATATTTTTCACTGATCGAGCTGTATGAGATGTCTGCTGATAGCTGATAATTTCATGAGCCTTTACCTTTTTCTGTTAGTTATGTTGCGTCGAATGTCGACAACTAATCGTTGGTCGTTCTCATCCGCAGATTATTACCTGCGCTGGAACCAGGCTTTATGCCGGCTGGCAGTCGATCCAAACTGTCAGTGGCTCCGCCGCGAAGAAGAGTCCCGCACTTGATGGACCGACTACCGACACAGGGTTGCACAATGTCGTATTTCGTTCAAGTCGATGGAGCGGGTTGTCAGATGATTCCATTCGCGATGGTTTCTTTTCTTTCACATTGAATTGAAGATGGTTTCTTGCTTGAGGAAACGAGAGGGTAATAAAGTTCTATTACTTGCATTTTTCTGTCTGTTGATATCACGATGATGTATCATACATGTGGCGGTACGATTTATGTTTGCATCATGGAATTACAAACTTGCGATTCTTTGAAGAGAGTGCAACGTCACAACACATTTTCATCATTGCGATCAGCCTACATCATAAAAAAAAAGTGTTAAACTTGGCGGGGGTGTATCGCCTACTGGAAGAAAGAAAACCGCTCGGAATCTTTCGCCCATTCTAAACAGAGTTACACATGTCCCTCCTCGAATCGAATTCGTGTTTCCGCAAGAAGATTGGGTCACGATCAAAGAGAACGTGTGAGACGTTAGCCCAGCAGGGCCAGACTGGCTTGAGGCGAGGGATCTGCTTTACCTTGCCTTCCGTTTTCTTCATTCCATCGCTTGCTTTTTTAAAAAGTATTTTTAAAATCCAACTTTGCTTTAGTTTACGAACGACGAATTAATTTTACCAACTTCCATGAGTTTTACGATTTCACCGACATGAGGGGAATTCCGTGGAAGATGTCTATTTAGATTCGATACCGTTCTTCATAAGAGGTTACGTGCCAAATCGAAGGCGCACGGGATCAGGATTCGAATGAACTAGTCACTGGTTGCCTCGTAGAGAACAGCGAGAAATGCTGAATGGAGCGATGTCCCTCGGGGGGGGGGGGGTGTTCCTGGGCCTAATGGTGGACATTAGCGATGTAGATGAGGGTCTAGCAAATAAAATCCGCAAATTTTGTCGATGTTATCGCGATAGGTCTTTATGAATGTGGAGGACAGGGCCAGAGTAGGATTTAAAGCTTTTCAACGATTGGAGTAAGAAATATCTGGTGAGGTTCCATGAAAGGCAGCGAGTGCAATGTTCTTCACAATTGTAACAACGAAAGGTGTTTGAATGAGATTTGTGGATTACTGCCGATGAAGAACTCAAGTTGCACGGATTTCAGGTACAATCCGAATTTTTCAGTCAGCAAATGCTGGAGCGGTATTTTTCCGTGATATGCAGCGTCAGTAAGACCGCATTATGTGTATTGCGTTCAGATTTAGAGGTCATCAAATAAAGATGCCTTGCGAGCCTGGAGAATCACCCGGGAAATACGGAGACAAACGTATGAAAAGCGTTTCGAAGCGCCGGGATTGCATTCGTTAGTCTCCACTTTGCAATTCCATGATGCAAACTTAAATCGTACCGCCTCTGGCATGATAAATCATCGTGATATCAACACAGAAGTAATAGAACTTTAAGTAATAGAACTTCACGTAATAGAACTTTATTCGCCACCCATTTCAACAACAAAAAAACGAACGAGCGTCAGAAGAAATTAATACTCATCGAAACGGAACGAGGAAAGACAGCCTCGTACTGAGAAACTAATTTTGTGCAAGGAAATAGATGCCAGTTTCGCTGCGGGGAAGAAAAGCAACGAAAATCCCATCATCTTCGACAGAGTACAGAGGTACAAAATCATGAGAAACTCATTCGCAAAAAAACTGAGACCTGGAGGCGCAAATACATTAAAGCACATTAAAGTACATTAGCGTGGGAAGGGGGAAGGGAAGGGGGTGGGGGTGGGGGGGGCGTAGGGGAGTGAGGGGGGCCATAAAGGGGAGCTCAGGACCTGCTTTGAATCTATTGAAGAGGATCCAGTCATTTGCCTCTTTCAGTTGATCAGCTGTCCTCTGCTTCTGCCAATGTGAGTAATCTTTCTTTCGTGTGGGGTTTTCGAAAGATTTATCAGGGAGAATGTAAAATTCTTCTTAGACGTGCAGGGGAAGGAGAGGGGGGAGTTGGAGGGCGCCTAAAAAATTGGCATGAAGTAAGTTCGAAAATGTTTTTCCGACTTGGATATGCCATCGTTTCTGCGCTGCAGGAGGAAAATCACGATTTGAGTCAAATGCAGGCTTTCTCCTGAATTCGGCTTCGATGATGATGGCGTGGACGAGAGCCTTACGAAAATGTTTTATAGGATTCCTATATATTCCATTAGGAATATATAGGAATCCTATAGGATCCT